ATGCCTTGGAGGCAGTGAGGAAACTCAGTAGAAGCTGAATCCCAACCGCTGGTCCCAACCCCTCCAACCGCTGTGATCAAACTCTGGAAAACAGCAAACAGGTTGAAGTTGTGAGGTGAATTCTGAGCAGCAAAACACCCCTCACACCGTGTTGGTCTTAGCTAGAAGCCCCCGAGCGCACGTGCACAAAGATGATACAAAACAGCATGATACCAGTGCAAGTTTCATGAAACTTTTTATTCAACAAGTATTTCATTATGATTCTGCCAAGATGATCAAATGAACAGCAAGGCATAAAAAACATGAAATAGTTAAGAGATTTTATTCTAATAGCTTTAATTACAGTGCTTGTTTGTCGAAATGAAAACTGAAAACAAGTATACAAAACAGTTGATTACTAATTGTGTATTGAAAGCAATAAAGGTTTCCACAACACTAAACAAACCAGTTCTGATAGTTCCTCAAGTTAAAGTTTAACAGCTCCAGCTTCTTCAGTGTTTATCAAAATACAAAAGAAAAGAGGTCTTTTTTTTCTGATGGCAAATCTGAACCTTGCAGTATGAGGGATGCCAAGGGTTTTCACACATATACAGATATGGGATTGTTTCAAGATGGGACTGAGTACTTCTAGAGTGGAATGACTCTCCAAACTCTCATGCTTTGTTTGTTTTTCCTAGATACTATACATGTTTGGTGGGGTTTTCTCATGGCATTTTTTACTTAAGTACAGTACTTTCTGACTATAGAGCTTAGGGCTAGTACAGGCTGTGCTTTCTGTGGAAAGGTTTGCCTTCTGGAGTGGTTTACACACGAGAAAAGTACAAAACACTTCGGACAAATACAACAGGCTAAAAATGTGACTTCCAGAAATTATTCAAGTTCTATGGAACCTCACCTGAACCAAAGTCAGAAGTTTAGCATGAGGCTCAAAGCTCATCTAAACCGAGTCTGACAAAAGTCTTTTAACAAGTATGAGCAAATGAGCACATACTATGAGCTGCACCAAGAACCGGAGATCGACCAGCTGGAATCTGCATGAAGCTAATTTGGTGTCGATCGTTGCTTCACCGCTTCAAAAGAATTAAAAGTCACCGTATTAGGGGTAGAAGAGCAGAAGCTATGTCAAACAGACTTGTGTGTTCAAGTGTTTTTACTTTTCCCCGACTACTTAAAAAAATACAGAATTCGGGTTAAAAACCAACCACCAAAATGGATCTCACAGATCTCACAACCCAACAGAGATAGTATTTAGCTCTACTGCACAATGACCACTGGCAACCCTTATGTTAATCCACTTTAATCCCTTCCGAGTACTAAACAGTGAGTTGATTCTTTACAATAAAAAAGCTGAGTAATATTGCATAGGAGTACCAGAAACTGCCTCATTGGAAAGAAAAACTATTTACATTAAATAAGAAACCTAACTGTTTTCAGGCTTGTATTTGCCACATTTACAGCATGGTGCAATATATACTGTGACAAAAAGAAATGAAAACAGCTTCCGGCACTCAATACCACAAAGTAGCACAGTTTGCCACATTAGAGTAAAGCGAAGGGCGAATAGGAGGAAATAAGAGGGAAGGGTGGAAAAAAGAGGGGAGAGGAAGGTTTACGGTTTCATTTCTGGTTTCGGAGCTGATTGGACAACCAGTCCAGTCCTTCATAGAGGCCGTCTCCGCTAGTGGCACAGGTGGCCTGGATGTACCAGTTCCTGTGACGAAGAGAATGCAGTCCGAGTTTGTCTGTGATTTCTGCTGCATTCATGGCGTTGGGCAGGTCCTGGGGGAAAGAGCAGAGTCACTCACCCTCCTACCACGAGCCGAAACGCAGACCTTCCTAAACAGCTCCCATGAGCAGCTTCCAACCCGTTTATGAAAAAACCCAAGAGCTTTCAGAGCTTCTCTTTCAGAGGAACTTAAGGACTACTTTTGATTTCAAGCTTTTTGTTTCAGAAAAACTCAGCAGATTACTTCTCTATTGAAGCTATTTCCAAAGGTTAAAAGCACGGTCACCCATGCTGGTTGTATTAGCAGGGCTATTTCTCTTAAGAAAACAAAAGTTAGGAGGCTAAATGTTTGGAATAAGTCACAGTGCCACTCGGTGTTGACCCAAAGCTGCTTACAGTTCAAGGGCTGTTTTCATTCACTTTCCATCCAGGAAATGCTTTCTGCCACTGCAGCTCCATGATTTCAGTTGGAGCTAAACTGTTCTCACGAGGTCACACTGAGCTGCTGTTTATAGTTCCCTTTCCTGCTACTAGGGAAGACTGGTGGCTCCTCTACCTTCCAGAGCCTGCACAACGGATCAAGCAGGATGCTATTAACTCCTGCATAACTGAAGTTTACTTAGCTATATTTAAGAATTTTAACATCTGGGTTTAACCTACTTTAAAAAAAAAAAGTTAGCTTTGTGGCCTAGGAAAGCAGAGCTCACCATTCAGTGTGAATATAACGAGAGTCAACTCCCTTTTTCCACGAGCACAACTTGTGCTCTCAAGCACCCTCACTGCAGGATTAGAGGTCCCAGCTTTGGGCATTCTGGGCTTCTTTTCTGTCACAGAAAGCTTAGATGGGTACAACACTCAAAACCAGCCAGTTTAATGCCAAACTTGTAGAAATCACCACTAAAACAGAATATGGGAAACTTCTTTGCTCAACACTGCTCTGAAGAGGCACTTTTCAAGTGAGAAGAGGGCAATTGAAGTTCTGTTGAAGACAGTAAGCCCAGAGGTGAACAGACATCTGCCAGCTGAGAACATACCTATTATGTTGGCAACATTCATGTCAAATTCAGCAGCTACCAGCTCCTAAATACACAGAGTGTTTAAGGAGCTCTCACAGACACACGCCTCACTCGGGCATACCTGTTTGTTCGCAAACACTAATAAAACAGCATCTCTAAGCTCATCTTCTGCCAGCATTCTCATAAGCTCTTCTCTGGCCTCGTTCACTCGTTCTCTGTCATTACTGTCAACCACAAAAATCAAACCTGGAAAGAAGCAAACCATCAGAAGCAGTGAGCACCAGGAGTTATTCACAAGCAATTCCACAGTTCCAGAAGTCAGAAGTAAACTTTGAAAATGCAGAAGGGTATGTAGGAAAAAAAGGCACAATTTTCACCCTGTTGTAATTCCATGTCTGAGAGAATCTCTCTTGCTGAGAGGAAACGAGTTGTTCGCTTGCATGTGCAATTTTTCGGGGCTTGTATGTTTAATTTACATAACCACACCATATTTTCAAGGAGCAGCAACTCCCAAACTCCTATGACAGGCCTCTAATGCATCTGTATTTTACATTTTAAAGGCAGACCAGTGGAAGAAGAGACATGTCCTCGATTCACAGGCCTGTTAAGTTTGTATGAAATGACAAGTACTAAAGACTCTGCTTTGAAGTAAAGGCTGGGGAGCTGCAAAGCTTTTAGAGGAAAAGCAGAATTCTGAATCTGATTCAGAAGGACGGGGAGGACAGGTTCCAAGAGGACTGGTTTCTACATTTCTTTCCACTCCCTTTGAACCTCAGCGTAACAGCCAGCCCAGCACGTGTGCACACACACCTCCTGCTAAAACAAACATGATTTCCCCAGAAAGTGTCAAGACTATCTGTGTAGGGGTACTGAAAATAACTTTATCCCAGTAACCTGTGATTTAAGTGTGAAGACTCACCTTGGGTATTCTGGAAGTAATGGCGCCAGAGTGGTCTGATCTTATCCTGACCACCTACATCCCACACTGTGAAGCTAATGTTCTTGTATTCTACTGTTTCCACATTGAAACCTACAAGAAAAATGGTGGCAAAACCTCAGTCAACCTCCACCTGTGGCATTTTCCAAGTCATGCTCGCAGTCTGAAAACATTATTTAAAGTTTAAATGTCTAAAATAAGCCAAAATCCAGTTCCCAGAAAAGCCACCCTCCTTTTTTCAATCAGAACTACCCGATGCCTCTTAAAATAAGGTGACTGTACTTCCACAGCACATAAAGGGTTGTTTCACAGTCAACTGAAGAGAAGGAATGAAGTGGGGGAAAAAAACCAGTCATTTAATCTCTTCCCATGCCTTTAGATCTGGCTGTGCTGCCTTCATAACACAGCCTTAGTGAAGGCTGGTACCGACTGGCACATCGGGGTACAGCACAAAGTCACTTAAATCAACAGCACTTTAATCAACGTGCTGCAAACGTGCTGCAAACAGCTCTCAAATCTCAAAGTGGTTTGTATAAATGGGGGGGAGAAAAAGAAAAAAGCCTTACCTATAGTAGGAATAGTAGTTACTATTTCACCGAGTTTAAGTTTGTACAAAATAGTAGTCTTTCCAGCAGCATCCAGACCAACCATTAGAATGCGCATTTCTTTTTTGCCAAAAAGGCCTTTGAAGAGGTTAGCAAAAATATTTCCCATGGTTGAGATATGGTGTCACTGGCCAGTAAGTCTAGAAAAAAGGAGAGATCACAGTATCACACAGTTAAAAACAATTGTGTTCCGGCACCGATAAACCAGATGAACATAAATTCTTTAGGCTCCCAGGCACACAGATCTTCCCATGCTGAAGCAATAGAAACATCAGATAAGCCAGAACTTACCCAAATTAGAGACACAGAGATAGGCCTGACTGCTTTAAAGCTTTTAAATAGTCTTTCAGAGATCTTACCATTGAATACTATTCTTAGATTTATTTGTGGGAGAAGCAAACCATAACAGATGCAGCAACTGACTGCTGCAGGTACTTTGTCCCCACTGCTATGGTGTAATTTATCTGCAGTCTAAGGTGTTACTATATATTTTTTTTTCTCCTCCAATTGACCTACAGTTAAAAAAAAAAACTTTTAAATTTGAGTTTTAAAAAGTTTAAAATCATATCCCTGTTGTTTATTCCTCGCTACTGCCTGAAGAAGAAACAATCAGTGCACTAAAGAGGAGGAAATTCAACACACAGCCTCAGTCCTCTCCAAGCCCGAGGAAGCCGCCTGCCAGCGCAGGGCAAACACGAAGCAGAATTGGCTTCATTAACATTGCAGACCTTCTCTAGAAAGCAAGTCAATGTTTACTGAAGCTCAGCCATCAAAAATTAATCATTATATTAAAAGAGTCAGGCTCTGAAATGAATGCTTCTTTGCTCACTGTAAGCTATTCACTCGGGATGCTCATAAATGACTAAAAATATCTGGAGCTTCCTGTTTTGGGAACCGAGGAAGTCGCCTCTGATTTCTGCAGTTACAGAACACTCACTGTGCCCTTGGAATGGGATCCACTGTTACCCATTTCCACAGCTTTTAAAAAATATTTTAAGCTTACTATTATGCCATTTACAGAAGAACGTAACAGCACCACAAAAAATATTATCCTGCTAATAAAAAACATGAAAATTTAAATACAAAGTAACCTTATGGCTATACAGAAAGCAGAGAGGGGGATGTTATATGGCACTAGTGACAACTCACACCTTTACTACTACTTTATCTAGTTAATCTCAGGTAAGTTTGACAAGAGCTAGAGTCCAACTGAAAAAAACAAGCCTAAGATACCAGGAATGTACAAAGTCAGGATATAAAACATTCAGGTGCCAGGTTTCCTGTATACTAAGTCATATAACTTGAAGGGTAATGTTAAATTTGTACTGAAGATATTTTGAAGATACCCAGCACTCCGCATTGAAGCTGTAAACCTGAAGCAGAATTCCAGGTAGAAATTTGCTTTACAGAACATCAACTCAGGATAACTAAAATGAGTTTTGAACTGAAAATTGAATCACTATACCACAGACCAAAAATCTTGCTCTGTTTAGCCCAGTGCTAAGAATGCACGAAACGCTGCTTCCTCATTCAGCGTACGTCTAAGCAGTTCTGCTGTTCCCAGGAAGTCCCGCTCGGAACAATTTTCAACCCCAGAGCTCAGCGCTGCTCCAGTCACATGTCTCTGCAGAGGCAGCGTCCCGGGCGAGTCCACGGAACACTCCAAAGTTCCTGGATGACATCAAACCCTGCAACGTGCTCGAGAAACCGAAGTCCAGGGCGCATTTGCTTTTCGTGATTGAAACGCGATAGGGTAGAGGCTTTCAACCGAGCTGGCTCCTCTACGAGCCAGACAGGGGAATCGACGGATTAAAACTAAACAAAAGGTTTGGAAGTTCTATTATGCCACGATTTCATTCATATTTTTCTGAAGTATCACCATGGATATTGAGCTGCCAGCCAAATATATGAAAGCTGTATAAACAGAAAACTTAATTGGAAAGCAAAGACAGCATTTTTCCTAGAGTCCCTATTTATCCAAATCACCCCTTCAGACAGCAGGAAATCTCACTCCTCAGCAGTAAACAGCAACTCTGACTGGGCTGCAGGGAGGACGTTTAAACCTTTCCTTTGTCTGGCTCCTCACGCTGCCTCTCTTTTCTGCTTCATCTGAAAAGCAGTATTTGGGTTTGAACTGTTATCTGTTACCACAGCTGTTATAACCCTCCAAAACAAGTTAAAGAATTTCTGTAGCAAGATAAAATTCCTAAGGCCCTGCATTCATTTTTATTTTTCTGCAGCAGTACAAAGCCTTCAGCAGTAAAACCATACTTAAAAGACTAACAGGTTATTAAATGCTCAAGAGCTGTAATCAATTAAAACTTAATCCTTGCTCTGACATTCATGACAATGTCACATTCTGGCCTTCACAAGTTGCCTGTGCTTGCCTATAGCCTTGGTGAATCCCATTAGGCCCCTTAGTCTCTTGGTACCTGACTGTTCCTAGGTCAAGAGGGCCCCACCAGGACCCAAGAGTATTAATTTCATAGTTACTTTTGTAGCACTTATCTGTCTTCTGTGAAGAACGAGAAGTTGAAACAGGCTTAAGAACTGTCTCCGTTTCCTTCTTGTTTCCTGCACATTTTCACTCTCCAAACCACTTCTGCAGCTACTTTAGTACTCAAAGGCACACGACAGATTTTTTTTTTAAATAGAGAATGAAAACGTCTCACAGTTTTTATATTACATATATATATATAGAAAATATTTAGATCCTTCACTACAAAGTAGCAGTATAATTAAAGTATCTAAAAAAAGAAAAACCCTGTTACGTGAAACCCATCTGCAAAACTCCCACAAGCTGCTGTGGTTCCCAGCAGAATGTTCCTCAGATGCTGCTGGGGCAAAAGAAGTTTCCAGCTTCAGCACAAGCAGCAGCATCCTCGAACCAGTGGCTAAGAGTCAAGTTCACCCATTGCCACAGGAAAAGAAAACTGGTCTATCAGTCTGAGAACCCTTTGCACACCCATTTGTCGTTGTGATGTGATGTGGGGTACACCATCTTACTTATCCCTATGTATTTTTCTATACTGCCCTCCTCACTACACTATCCCGTGTCAAAGAGTAAATTTCACCCACTGCCACAGGAAAAGAAAACTGGTCTATCAGTCTGAGAACCCTTTGCACACCCATTTGTGGTTGTGATGTGATGTGGGGTACACCATCTTACTTATCCCTATGTATTTTTCTATACTGCCCTCCTCACTACACTATCCCTGCCAGTAATTTGATCACTTTGAAGCACCTTTAGGGAATTCTGCAGCATTAATAGAAAACCTCAGGGAAATCACCCTCAGAACAGTGACAGATCATCTCTAAAGGGCAGGTCGCTGCTTTTTCAGTCATGCCTTCCAACAACGCAGAGCCCGTCGCACTGAAAACGGCAGGACACGCTTGAGAACTGCTTCCCACAACTTCATCACCACCCGTTAATACAACTCAGCTGAGGGATCATGCGATTACTTGGAGTGCACTTCAGTGCGGAGACTGCTTAGTTTAATTCTCCTTTCAGTCAATTAGCCAGAGCCCAAGAACAGGCTGAAAATATGGGGAGATTCAAAGACACCTAGGTGCACCAGGCAACTTCAAAACGTGCAGTCCTGCCCATATCAGGATTTGCCAATAAGCTACTTATATTCTATACTGCAACATGGCTTTATTTTCCTTAGCTCAGATTAAATGTCCTAATGGGAAAACGATAGAGGCTTAACAAGTTCCCCAAAAAAAGCCTGAAAACATGCAAAGACTATAGCTTATGGGTTACTTATGTGTTTAGACTCGCACATCTTTGAAAGAAGGATCCACGAGGCTGAGCAGAAAGACTTGTGTGTGAAAAGGAACAGCCCGACTGTCTTTCTGCAGCCTATGGCACCCTCATTGCGAATCCAGTTCCTAAAAACAGAGGCCCAACGCCCCTCAGGGAGCTCAAGCCAGGCCAGAACAGAATCTCCCTCTTTAACTCGGGCTTCTCCCCAGGGCGTTGAAGCAAGATCACCTTCACATACTCCACCTCAATACGCACCCCAGTAAAAACTTGTTGGGCAGGTTCAGTTAAGATAAACTGTGTCATTGGTAAACAGCGAGCGCAGGCTCACTGGATAGACTGCAGTTTTGCTTCAGGAAAGGCAGCATTTTCAGCAACAGATTTTCAAGTGATACATTTAGATAAGTAATTGGGACTACAGGCAGCCTTTTCCAGAAAGCCTCCAGTGTCTGTTAGAGAGATAGAGCAACTGAATTAGAACTTGCTTCTATTCATTATAGAGGGTCAGAATAAAAGCTGAGGAGTATCTCAAGATTAAACACAATTCAATGTCTGATCTGCAGCATTTTGTAGTTAACTGTGCCTTAACGCACTTCAGTGACATTTCATTCAGTCCCGCTTATCTTGAAAAATCAACTGTGCTTCTTGATTTGCACACTGCATGGATGAGCTGTTGGTGTAAAAGCTACACAGATAGTGTGCGGCACATTAAGGAAGATATAGCTGCTTCTTGAGATCTCTCTAATCTTAATTTTGCACCTCTAGAAGAGTTATTTTCAGCCCTCAAAACAAACAAACAAAAAAATCAAATCAAACTTCCTTGAGCCAAGAGTTGTAGCAAATGTCCTAGTTTCATTCAATTTTATACCACTTCTCTAAACATACCAGAATATAAAAGCTCAGAGACTAGGGGAAGAGATGCCATATTCATTAACTAATTGGAGAAACTAGGCCCACACTATTAAAAAAAAACACATTTTCTTCACTTCTGTGGCACAAGTTCTGAGGATTTTACAAAGCCGTGTAACAAAATTCACCAGGCTCAATCATTTTGGCAATCTGCTCTCTATAGTGGATAAATTCTACTACAGAAACGAATTTTCTACCTCCTCTTTATTATATGTTCCAAGATACAGAAGTACAGAAAGGGTTTGTTAACTTTGGAAACCATCAGATCTCCATGAGGAGTTTCAAGGAGAAGCTGTCCAGCAGTACATTTCTAATTAATCAAAATATCAATGTTAAGAGAAAATCTGAAAACTGTATTAGTAAAGAGCAGTATTTCAGATAAAGGTTCAACAAAAGTTCTTTCCCAATAGCTCCGTGTTACAGCTGCACATGTTACTGCTCTACTAAACATTTATCACAGCTTTAG